GGGGAGGGGGAGGAAACAGGGCAGGAAGATATGATTCTGCGAGCATAACTAGTTTTCTGTCCTCGCCATCACTCTGGCTGGTCATCGTCATCGTGGTAGCCGGTGCCATGTTGCTTCCTGACCTCAGGGGAGCAGAAGAGTTTGAGAGACACCTGAAAGGGATTGAGCGCGAGACGAGGATCAGAGTGAGAGATGGTGCGGTAGGGAGCGGGAAGATGGCAGGGGAGGCGGAGGCGGGTGAGCGTTGGTTCGTGTTCGCCTTGAACAAGAACTTCACAGACCTGCAACGTCTCTTCAGAGTCGCTACGGTCATGTGCGAGGACGCAGACGTGTGCAAGGGATCGCTCGACGAGCGGAGGTTCAGGGTCCACCCGAGAAGCTTCGTAACAGGCGGTAACGGCACGCTGAAAGAGCTTGAGATCGACTTGCAGGACTTGTTCATGACTGGGCCGAGGAGGTTCTTCATAGACTCTGCCAGCGACTTAGACACTATGTTTCTCCTCAAGCTCATCAGGAAGAATGGCCCTGGCGACCTGCTGGTCCTGCTGCGCCGCTGCAACGCTATGCTCGAGAGCATCTCCGACAACATGGGCATGAAGAAGGTGTTTGGAAGGCAGCTGGAGCAGCTGCTGAGGGGATGGGGGTTCAACTTCGACCACCAGCAAAGTTGTGTTCTTTCGAACGAGTTTGCGGGTGCCCGAGGTAGACAAGAGGCTCTCCCCTTCAGGCTGCCCCCAGCTCATACCCAGCAGAGCCTCGAGCAGATCCGGGTCACGTGGAACGAGCTGCAGAGAGGCGGGGCGGGGCACAAGAAGTTGCTTATCTTCGGCCTCGGACATGACTCGGATTGGTGGGCGTCGGTTAACCCAGGTAACAAACAAGCCTTGTAGGTTCCTCCTCCTCTCCTCTCCCCTTTGCCTCTACCTCCCTCCCTCCCTCCTTTCCCCGCGTTCATTCTTCATCCTCGCCCTCCTACTCCTCCTCCGCATCGTCATTATCATTGTCATCGTCACCGTCGTCATCGTCATCGTCGTCGTCGTCGTCGTCGTCGTCATCATCATCATCGTCATCATCATCATCATCATCATCATCATCATCATCATCATCATCATCATCATCATCATCATCATTCTGCATGCAAGCGGCCATCTGACCAGACCTGCAGGAGGAGAGACAGTCTTTGTGGAGGACAACAAGGACTGGATCAAGCACGTGCTTCAGTCAGCCCCCAACCTCGATGTAGTCCAGGTCACTTACAGCACAGTCCTCGGGAGGGACCTGAACAAGTTCAGAGATCGCGACAAGTGGGGAGAGCTGGCGATGAATCTTCCTCCTCGCATCCTCCAGCACAAGTGGGACGTCGTGCTGGTCGATGCTCCCATGGGCTTCGCTCCGGAGAACCCGGGGAGGATGCAGTCGATCTACATGGCGACGAAGCTCGTGAGGAAGGGAGGGCTGGTGGTGGTGGATGACTGCGAGAGGCCGGCAGAAGAGCTGTACATGCGGCTGATGTTGGGGGAGGGGAACATGTTTCACACGGTGGGGAGGAGGGGGAAAGTGATGAAGGACGGCACGTTGATAGCGGGGAACAAGCAATGCTACTTCCGGATGTGACATGCGACTGAGAGCTTGAGGGAGAGACTGTAACTGTGACCTGAACAGGTTGCAAGAGCTTTATTCTTTACTTGTACAGACTGATCGGAATGATAACAAGGATGAGGAGTGCAAGCCTTTTGGTGTCATCATACCGACCAGCACCTTTCCCCCTCCTCTACTCCTCCTTTCCTCATCCTCCTCCCTTCCTCTTCTCTTCCTCTTCTCTTCCTCCTCTCCTGCTCCTCCTCTTCTCCGCTTTCTCCTCCCTTTTCCTCCCCGCTTTCTGTCCCCGCATCCTTCCTCGATCTCCCGTTCTTCCTCTTCTTCCGACGATGTCACCATGGCATCATTTGCTTCCCAGGATAGCTTCCAGCAGCTCCTTCGTCTCCTCCACATGCAACTGACATAAGTCTCAGTCCCTCCCTCATCCCATGCTTCCTCTCCCTCATCCCCTTGTACTTCCACTACAGCTCCTGCTCCTGCTCATCGCCTGCTCCTGCTCCTGCTCCTGCTCCTGCTCCTGCTCCTGCTCCTGCTCCTGCTCCTGCTCCTGCTCCTGCTCCTGCTCCTGCTCCTGCTCCTGCTCCTGCTCCTGCTCCTGCTCCTGCTCCTGCTCCCCCCCCTCCCTCCCCCCCCTCCCCCCTCTCCTCCTCCTCTCTCCTCCTCCTGCTCCTCCTGCTCTCCTTCATCCCCCCGTTCGAGTTACCCTGTAGAGGCCAGTAGCAGGAGAGGCGGACGGCGGACGGCCGATATATTTCAAGTCTCTGCAGGCAAGAAAAGGCAATCAGAGGCCGAGTAGAGGAGAGAGCTAGGAGCGGAGACGAGAAAAGCAGGATCAGAAGCAGTAGGAGAGGTATCGGCAGGGGAAGGAGCAGTAGGAGGGGTATCGGCAGGAGAAGGAGCAGTAGGAGGTATGGGCAGGAGAAGGAGCAGCGAGCAGGAAAAGCTAGTAGGAGCAGGAGCAGCGAAAGGCAAGTTGAGTACCGCAGTGCGTGATCTGGGTTTAACTTCTTCTGCGCTGTCATGAAACGAGGGAGGACATACTGGTGCTAACAAATCAGCAGGAAGGAGATAAGGGAGCCTGGAGAATACAGCGACGAGCGAGATGGATCATCATTGAGATTTAAGAGAGGAGGAGGAGGAGGAGGAGGAGGAGAAAAGAGGAAATAAAAGGAGAGAGGGAAGGGAAGGGCAGAGGGGAGAAAAGTAGAGAGTGAAGAGGACAGGAGAAAAGAAGACAAGGAGGAGGGGCGGAGGGCGGAGGACCATATATGCTCCCATGTTCTTCGGTTCTTCTTGTGCCCACACGCATTCAGCATTGGGGTAGATGAGGAGAATCCGAGCAATCCGGTCGAAGGGGAAGGGAGCGAGCTGAAGCTAAGCCGTCAGAGGATGAGACTTGCGCAGGAGGTTGATTCCAGAGGAAGAGAAGAGGGAGGTGGTGGAGGTGATGTAGGCGGGAAGGCACCGTGACGGTCAGAGGACGGAGAGAAAGGGAGAAAATTGGGAGGAACGAGCAAAGGAGGAGGAGATTGGGGGGTCGGGAGCAGAGTCGCCAAGAGAGGGAGAAGAGAGGGAGGAGGAGGAGGAGGTGGTGGTGGTGGGTGGAGTGAAGGAGGAGAAACCTGCTCGATCCTGACGAAAGCGATGTCTCTGACCTTCCTTGCGGACCTCGCATGGTACATGTCGTAGAAGAACTTCCCGCTTGTTGGGAGTCAAAAACTTGAAGCAGAACATGATAGGAATGGACGAGTGCCACGGGGGTGGGACAGAAAGAGATGGTGTTGTAGCATTTTGGGATGCAGCATCAGATAAGGGGCAGGGGCAGGAGCAGGAGCAGGAGCAGGAGCAGGAGCAGGAGCAGGAGCAGGAGCAGGAGGATTGCTGCTGGGGGGGGGATTGGGATTTGAAGGTTCTGGGAACCTGCAGAAGACAAGGCGACGAATCTTGTCGCAAGGGTTGAGCTCATACTGCCTAGACCTGAGGTTGTCACCAGGGCCATGCTGGAAAGAAGTATCAGACAGAAGCGGGTGAGAGGAGAAGAAAGATCGCAGTGACTGGAGGAAGAAGAACATGTGCTGGGGTAAAGAAAACCAAGACAGAGATTGCTCTCAGATGAAATATCGACAGGAAGGTGAGAGGTTTGATATAAGAGGAACAAGAATGCCAGGTGATGGCGATGAGGGAGAATGGAGGGAACGTCTATAGACGAGAGAAGAGAGAACGGCAATCGAGGACATGCAGCAAGTAGCCATGAAACAACTACAACAAGCCAACAGAACACAAACCTCAACGATGGTTCTCCTGAAGAAAGTATTTGGCCCCATGTCGTCCAGAGGCGATCTGAAACGAACAAACATCAGCATTCCCACGGCAGACTCCTCCAACGTCCTTCTCGTCATCATCATCGTCATCATCATCATCATCAGTCTCTTCATGATTCTAATCATCCTCATTTCATCACCATCACTGCAATCAATGCCATGTTCTCATTTCTGAACCTGCAAGCCCGATGGTGTAACAAGTACTTAGGTGACATCACGATCAGCGGCTTGGCGTACGGCCGATGAATCTGGCGACGTAGAACGTGGAAGTATTGTGCAGGAGAGGATGGATTGATCTGCTTGCTATCAGCGCAGCTCGTTTGCAAGATCGCATGCAGTGAAAATGGAAGTTCGACTCACCACACAGAAGTTGTGAGTTCTTTCATCGTTGCGCCTGATCCAGGCAGAAGCAAACATGAAGTATTCCTCCTTGCTCAACGCAGAAGACTCGGCGCCATGGACGCTCAGCTCTGAAAAGATGGAGAGGAAGGACAGGAAGGAGGAGGAAGGCGACAAGAAGGGGATCAAGTAGAAAAGGCAGAGAGGAGGAGAAACGAGAAATTTCAACAAATTTGTGCTCCATCACATTCATCCCATTCATGAAAACAAGCATCAAGCAAACCTTGTGATTGAATTCTCGGCTTGTCAGTCGGCGAAAGTTCGTTGAGGTAGTTGGTAATGTCGGACATGTTGACCTGTCGTCACCTTCACTCACGGAGAAAGCAGCAACAACTGAATAGTGTCGTCGTCGTCTTCGTCATCATCATCATCATCATCATCATCAGCAGCAGCAGCAGCAGCAGCAGCAGCAGCAGCAGCAGCAGCAGCAGCAGCAGCAGCAGCAGCAGCAGCAGCAGCATTCATTGTCATTCATCGTCATCTCATCGTCATCAGATCACTCCTCCAAATACATGGAAGGGAATTTCTCCCTTCAATGCCATCGTTCTCTTCATCACAACCATTCTTCTTGTCTCCTCACCTTGTTGTTTCCATTTCCGTCCAGCACTTTCCATGCTCGCTCGAGCTCCTGCGGTCGTTTCAGCACAAGAGGAAGGAGAAGGGAAGCAAACAACCTCCTCAAACGATCCCTCAATGGCACCCGGGACAACATCCGGATCCTGCAGGATGGAATTCGTTAAAAGACAACTTTGACAACTCGCGTTGACATCATCGTACACTCCTCATCTCAATCGTCATACAATTCTCATCTCAGTCATCGTACACTTCTCATCTCCATCATGGCAAGTTTCTGCCATCCGTCTCTGTCTTCACCTGGTCCACCAGCTGCAAGTACCTCTCGAGCCTCGCAGACGAATGCTCAGGGCCCTAACGTTGCATCACACAGTCAGAGTCTGGCGCATCCAACTTGAAGAGAGGAGCATCGATTTAGTGCATGTGCCGCTACGATCTGTCGTAACAAAGACAGTAACAACAGCCCTACCTGCCCGTCGTACCCGTGTGGCAGGAGCAGCACCAGCGCTGATTTCTGTCCCCACTTGCTCTCCCCGGTTGCGATGAAGTTGTCAATGATGTGCTACATCGAACGGTCAGTCGAGCATGTCATGCCAACGTTCTCACCTGAGCAACGTTCGCAAAGTCCCCGAACTGAGCCTCCCAGATCACAAGAGCTGCGAGGGACTTCAGTTTCGCACTCATCCCCTTGTCCCATCTCTTGTCTCAGTCTGCCTCCCTTGCCTCCCTTGTCGTTCTCTCCCTCAAGTTCTCACACACACAAACAAGTTCAACGCGATGACAACGATCGGCAAGACTTGTATCGCAATCATCGCAGGTGAATCATGGCAGTCTCACCTAAGTCACTCTCTAACGAGTAGCCGTACTCGAACCCGAGCACTGCTGCCTCTGACAAGCTCGAGTTGCAAACCTGAGAGCAGGAAAGGGTCTCAGCATGCACTATCTCAATCATCGCATCACTTCTCGAGCATGTGCAACGTCGATCATACACAACAACGAAAGTGAAAGTTCGAACAGACGAGCTGCATGTCGAAGTTCAGCATGACAACCTGAAACGTCGCTTGCGGGCCGAGGTTGAGGTTGTTAAGAGGAGTGTAAGGTTGAGCAGTCCGCTGGTCGTATATGACGGCATGGCGCTGGTTGAAAGTTCCTCGCTCACTGTGACGGGAGGTAAGTCGAAGGAAAGTTGCAAGAGAGAACGGACAAAGAAAGTTGTCTGACAACAGATAATTTGATGAAGAGAGGGCGGGAAGAATGCAAAGGATGATGATGAGAGGAAAATCCATCCACAGCACAACAGGAAATAAACTAGAAGTAGAAATTCAACACAAACAACACAAGGCCGATAGCTGCGGAGAGAGAATTTGAAACGCAAGTCAGCACCTGTCCTGTCCACTCAATCTGACATCGACAGTCGGGTGCTCAACATACTCAGTCAAGAGCTCAGCGGTGCCCTGTTTGCACATAATCGTCAGATTCGTCATCAACAATCAACCCGTCATCGTCGTCAACAACACCATCGTCGTCGTCGTCATCGTTGCAATCATGTTTCTTTCATCGCTCACCTTGAGTGCATCAGAGGTGTCGGCAAGTGAAAGGGAATCTCCTTCTCGTTTTATCCTCCCGAAGCTGTCATCCGGGCTGTTGAACATGTCGTTACGGTGTTTGAATACTTATCCAATATCCTAGAGACTCGTGCAGATACATGAAGAGGAATAGAAGTGGGCAACAGAGCCAGAGAGTTTCGGATGTGAGAGAAACAATATACCTGAATGGTAGCATCAAAGCTCCAAAGGCAAGGAGTTCTGCCCAACGGTTTCAGAGAAATCAGCAGCTTGGAGGGCAGGCGAGACGAAATGAGAACCAAGTTTCTTGCGTAATGGAGAGGGAGGAAATAAACGTGAAGGGAGGAAAAAGACAAGGAGAGGGAAAGGGGAAGGAGAGGAAAAGAGAGAACGTGAACAAATCAAATTCATGTAGCATCACCTGCCAGCGCCATGTCAGCCTCGCCATGTTCCAGCATCTTCTGGCGCCGCATGAAAAGATCTTTCACCTGTCAAGGCGTGCAGTGAGAACACAGGGAATGACGCGTTTGACAGTCAGTCGAACAAGAGCAGCAAAGGCAGACAGGCAGACAAGAAGAAAGGAAGGAAGGAAGGAAGAAGAGAAGGAGGGAGGGAGGGAGGGAGGGAGGAGGGAGGGAACAAGGGAGGAAACAAGGGAGGGAGGGAGGGAGGGAGGGAGGGAGGGAGGGAGGGAACAAGGGAGGGAGGGAGGGAGGGAGGAAAGAAAGAAGGAAACGAGGGAGGGAGGGAGGGAGGGAAGGTCAACGTACCTGCGGGTGGGCACTGAAGTCCTCTGGGATTTTACAAGCTGACAGTCCGATGTCTTTAAGAGTCTTGAGAGGAACCCCAGTAAGGTTGAAGGGCCTTGAGCCTTACAGACGATTCTTGTCAGTTGCCTCCTTTCTTCCCTCACTCACTCGCTCGCTCACTCGCTCGCTCGCTCGCTCACTCACTCTTCTCAATCTTCTCACTCTTCTCCATCTTCTCAATCTTCTCAATCTTCTCACTCTTCTCAATCTTCTCAATCTTCTCACTCTTCTCAATCTTCTCACTCTTCTCAATCTTCTCACTCTTCTCAATCTTCTCAATCTTCTCAATCTTCTCACTCTTCTCAATCTTCTCAATCTTCTCACTCTTCTCAATCTTCTCAATCTTCTCACTCTTCTCAATCTTCTCACTCTTCTCAATCTTCTCAATCTTCTCAATCTTCTCACTCTTCTCAATCTTCTCACCTGAATCACAAAGTGCACTGATCGCTTCCCCCTGCCAGTTCGTCGCCAACCACTCGGAGGGCCTCGGAATGTACTGAGATGAGCATGAGATGGGCACGGAGAGGTCGAGGAAGTAAGCTGCTTCACCTGCTTCCTGTGCTGAAACTCGTTCTGTCCGGGCGTGAGTTGACAAGGGCACAAGGGATCGTCAGGCAGAGAGGGAAACAGTATTTCTTTCACCTCAAACTCATGAAGGACCTTCTGCGAAAGATCCCTCACGAACTTCGTATCAACCACTCGGTCTGCGATCAATTCCTGGCAAGTGGCATTACAAACAACACACTGAGCCCATCGACGACATCTTTCCCATCATAGAGAGCTATTCTAACGTAATATAGTGCATCTCATCGCTCTGTCTTGGTATCTGATCTAACTTCCAACCACGTAAAAACTTTGGCTCCATTATCTTGCGGCATTCTCGGACGACTGTCGTCTCCCAACATCATCTCCATCCCCGCCTCCACTCTCTCAACGCACATCTGCCAACATCTTCATCCTCACCGTGGTATACAGCTGCAGGACAGGCGGGTGTCTTCGGATCTCCGAGTATGTCAGAGGCTGAGTGAGGGAAGGCTCGTCCAGCTCGTTGTGCCCATGTCGCCTGTAGCAAACAATGTCCACCACACAGTCCTTGTGAAAGGTCTGTCTCCATTCCGCAGCGATCCGGCAGACGTGGATCACGGCCTCGACGTCATCGCCGTTGACGTGGAAGATCGGAGACTCGATACCCTTGGCTACGTTGGTGCAGTGGTAGGACGATCGGGAGGCACGCGGGTCAGTGGTGAACCCGATCATGTTGTTGATGACGACGTGGATTGTGCCCCCAGTTGTATATGCTGGGATCTCCGACAGCTCCATCACTTCTGCTACAATCCCCTGATGGTTTCGCACTTCAGATGCCAGCAGCAGCCAAGGCAGGAGAGCAGGCAAGCAGGGAAGGAGGGGAGAAGTGAGGAGGAGGAGAAAGCAGGAGATTTTGATCGCGATGATGAGAAAGTTTACGGCGGAGATGACCGGGAAAGATATTGAGAGAGGAGAACAGGAACAGGAGCACTCAATCCACGAGTGAGAGGAAGGTGGGAGGGACAAGGGGTGTTACCTGACCACTGAAGGCAGCGTCACCATGCAGCAGCACAGCCATGACTCTCTTCATCTCCTTGTCGTTGATGAAGAACTGCTTCGCCCTCGTCTTCCCTACGACGACAGAGTTCACAGCCTCCAAGTGCGAAGGGTTGGCCGCAAGATTCATATGAACAAGTTTCCCCCGGAAGTTCCTGACTGCGTAAGTCCCGAGATGGTACTTAACATCTCCCATCGAGACCTACAGAGCAGGTCACAATCGTGAATCCGAGGGCTCTCAGGAGCAGCAGGAGCAGCAGAAGCAGGGTTGGGCAAGCGGCGGAAGGATGGAGAGGATGAAAGTTTGAGTGAGGAAACAGGAGAAGGTAATCCAGCCTCACATCAGTCTCAGTAAACTCGTTGCAGAGAGCTCCGAGAGGTTTTCCGAACAAGTTGGCAAGAACCTGAAAAGAAGAGAGAGAAGCAGAGAAGGGACCAGGAGAGGAGAGGAGAGGAGAGGAGAGCATGGGAGAAAGAGAGAAGAGGGAAGGAGAGACGAGGAAACACGAGAAAGAGAGGAGAGGTGAGATGAGGTGAGATGAGAGAGAGAGAGGAAAAGAGGAGAGAAGAGGAGAGAAAACAAATTACTGTGAGCACCTCCAACATGATACCGCTCAAGCCTTACATTCAACCTGCCACGATGCGCCATCCCGAGCTCAACTCCCTCTACACCCAGCTCGGCTCCTCTTGTAACGAGGGCATGGAGGCCAAGGAGGACAGCCTCTGCACCTTCGATGCCGAATCTTTTTACAGCAGGAAACTTGTCTCCGAGGAAGCTGGGCCAACGAGTAAGTTCACAGCACATGACGTACATCCACATCAAACAAGATCCCTCACCTCGAAAACATCATTCAAGGAACACATATTTCAAAAGAGCACATTCTTCAAAGAGCACACTTATCAAAGGCCCTTCGAAGACATCCTTCAGTCTACATCTCGACTCATATCATAGATCTCATCAAGTGAGGTACGTCGCAGCCTCTACAAGAGCAACCACGTCTCCACTAAACAGCCCGGCAGCGGGCGGCTGATGAAACTCACCGTTCAAGATGGTCAGTCCGCAGCAGAATCTCAAGAGCTTTCACTTTCTCCTCTCTGCTCAGAGTCCCGAGCTGGTTCCCCTGGAAGAAATACTCGTTCCGCTGCTTCTTCCTTGGGTTCCCCCGCTCAAAAATCGTCTTGATCCAGCTCCTCTGGAACCTGTCGGACAGGTGCGTATACTCTACCGCCGTGCTCCCACAGTAGGTTGCGCGCATGAACTCGACGACATCATGGATGCTCCAATCTCTCTTGGGATGAGCGAGGAACTCATGGCCAATGGCGAACCGCTCGTTCGGGTCGACATCTTCCAGTCCGAACACGGTGAGGTCGAGACGGTCGGGGTAGTCCTTCAGCAGCCTGCAGACAGTCAGCATAAGGAGTAAACAATTGTTGTGGCAGCACCTGCAGACGTCTACTGCATCTGTGTTGACCCAGTAGATGGGCTCGTGCGGGTTCAACTTCTTGTGGGAGCTGCCACGGAGCGGGTCAAGCATGGCGGCGAAGTGTCCTCGATGGCGGAAGGCGTTGATCATGTTGCTCAGGCGAAGCGCGATCGTCGTCAATCGCTTGCCGTCTTCTTGCGGTATGGCTGGCCATTTCATCTCCAGGGGATTCCAATCGGGAGTTTGTGAGACGAGAGTCCTGCAATGGAGGGAAAGGGACCATGCTTGTTTCTTGGAAGCATTACGGTGCAGTGCTGCAAGGGGGTAAAGAGTCGACGCGGCACGTGATATGGATCTATCAGACGTGGTTGACCACAGCGAGAGAATTCCTGTCCTTGAAGCACGGTTGGGAATTTTTGTTGTGAGCCCGAAGACATGTTTCCCTCGCATTTCGAAGAGCAGCAGTCTCTGCAACAGCTCTTGCGTTCCTCTCATCAGCTCAGCAACCACCTTCACAAGCCCCTGCCTCCTGATCCTGGTTGCATATCCTCCGGACACCTGGACATGAAATAAGCGCGTAATTAAGCTTAGTGTCTGGATTTCTTTCCCTTCCTTCTAGGCATTTATCACCGCACAGGTGCCAATCTTCCTCCTCTCTCAGATAATCATGCTCGTGCGTGATGATCCATCACAACTGGTGGTTGTCATCACTTCTATTCCTCCTCCTCTACTCCTCAACTCCTCGCGTTCTCCCTATCCCCCATCTCCACACTACCTGGCCTAGCACGTTCCTGTATCCTCCTCCCTCGCTTCCTCCCCTCTCTACCATGACGGTACACATGAATCTTGGAGATAGTCACCAATAGTGTCGCCCTCCTATCCCTCCTCCTCTCGCCCTCTCCCTTCCGACTCCTCCTGGTATCTCCCTGCCATGCTCAATTCCAGGGTTGTCACCACCCCCATATTAATACTTTAAAGTACCCGTCATCCTTCCCACCCACCTTCATTCACACTTTTTTAGTAAACGGACTCCAGGGGTTTGGCCCGGTCGAAATCAAAATGCAGCACAAACTTGATTAGGTGCGAAGGGGGCGGAGCAGGGGGAGAGGATCACGGCGAGGAGCAGGAGAGCAGGAGAGCAGGAGAGCAGGAGAGCAGGAGAGCAGGAGAGCAGGAGAGCAGGAGAGCAGGAGAGCAGGAGAGCAGGAGAGCAGGAGAGCAGGAGAGCAGGAGAGCAGGAGAGCAGGAGAGCAGGAGATCAGGAGATCAGGAGAGCAGGAGAGCAGGAGAGCAGGAGAGCAGGAGATCAGGAGAGCAGGAGAGCAGGAGAGCAGGAGAGCAGGAGAGCAGGAGAGCAGGAGAGCAGGAGAGCAGGAGAGCAGGAGAGCAGGTATGGGGAAACGTTCTTCAGATTGTGGGCAGGGCCTTGATGTTTTGGATGATGTTGGAGTGATGGTCGGCAGGGGTGCGTGAGTGACATCGGACTTGGAGGACCAACTTTGAGCTAGTTGCAGATTTCAAGAAGGTAATAATAAAGCAGCGAGCAGCGTTAGGATAGGCGTGCTGAGAAGAATTCGCAATGAAGCACAGAAATATGGCTAGGAAATGGAATGAAGGATTGTCCGGCAACGTCAGCCTTTCTGAGATTTCAAACAGTGCTTGTATGCCTCCAGGTCTACATCATTTCAAGTGCACAATTTTCCACTGCAAGCACAGGATGAGAGAGGAAAGAGAGACAGCGGCAGGAAACCTCAAGCTCTGGTAGATGAGTCTCGAATGTCCAGCATGAATACTGTCGGCGAGTGATGAGGAGAGAGCATGAGCAGATGCAGTTGACTCACCGTTAACACAAACTCTCCGGGCTCACCGATGATCCTGCAACAACAACGTCACGTCGTATGCTGCGCGAACGCGCGGTCGAAGCAGGATGCACTGCATGCCTATCATGTAGATCTTTGATGCTTGTCTTTTGATCGTATGAAACCTGAGCCAACATGTCATGCAAGGTTGGATAGAGGACATAGATGTCAGATCGAGGAAGGGCCCGGGAACAACAACGAAAGCACGTCCGCCAACCGCCCACAATGCCACCAACGAGTCGACACTGACCTGCACAGAGACTTGGGCGAAGTCTTCTCCTTCCTCATCGGTCAAGAAACTTCGAACAAGTGTCAGATCAACTGCCATGACCAATCATCCCTCACCCGACTGAAACGATCTCTGACTCGTATATCTTCGACACTTGTTGTTCCGCTCTCTACCAGGCCGTATCAGTTCTTCATTTTCACACACAAAAAAAAAAAGAAGAGAGAGGAAAAAGAGACAGCGGCTCAATTCTTACCAATTCTGTCTCCTTCATCAGTTTTTCTGCTTCTTCAACTGCGGTGAGAAATTTCTGCACAACAAATCATCTAAGAATGAGGCATGTTCTACGGTCTCATACCTCTCCAACAAGGCCCCTCAACGAATCGACATCATGGGAAGAAATGCTTTTCATCGCCGACTAGAAGAAACATTACTGGCTGCATGTGGAGCAAGATCGTGAGAAGCTCGTCATCGGACCTCAATTGCAAAGATTGCTCCATCCAAGAACTCAGTCTCGTCGAAATTGTTCTGTCATAACGTCAGACAACTTGGTCAGGAGGAGGAGGGGCGTACCTCGGACAGGAGCTTGAGGGCCCTAATGTTCATATCCAAAAAGAATTTTCGAATGAACCCTATGCGGATCTTCTTGTACGGCTACGCACAAATAGAGTCAGCCAACCTTCCGAGCTTCTCTTGTTTTACCTACGGTATCAAGCGTCAACAAACAAGAAACTTCATGCGATGCAACAGATTTACCCGGTACATGACATGCTTCATTTTCGCATCGATCTGCAACAAAGTACCGAGTCAACGCGGTGAATCCGATGAATCTAGAATGTCGCCGACCTCCTTGTCCTCATCCTTGCACTTCAACAACCTTGTGCTCCTAAAGGATCTCGTCTGTTGGAAACTACCAAACTTGACCAATGAGTTTGCCACTGTGCCTTCAATCCCCTTTTTCCACCCGAGTCTCTGGTGGATAGAATGTGAGCAGCACTAGGCCAAGTTTCAATAGACGACCTGTAAAGGTTGAGTACGTAGAATTCTAGTGAAGAATTGTCGCATTCCAGTTCAATTCGGAATGAAGGGGAATTGATAACAGATTGACCCCACTTCCTCGATTATGACGAATACAAATCCTGAGATGTCATCATGTCAGTTGTTAAAACTATGCATGAGCTATCAATCACTATCCTTCAATGACCTCCCACTCCCTCCCATCCTCTACGCTGGTAAATCTCTTCCCGCACAAAGTGTTGGGAGTACAGCTTGAAGAGGCATAGGGGCTGATAGAGAGGGTCATACAGCAGCATCTGCTGATCGTGCGCCTACTCTGGTCTAACATCAACACGTTCTTGTCATCCGATCTTCACATATTTGGAGTCAGCAGGCAAGACCGACCATCGCCCCGCCGGGCTGTTGCCGCATTAAATGAATTGAGCCCACATCCCCGCTCATGACAAACTACTCCGAGTGCCTGCTCCGAGTGCTCCGAGGCAGACTCCGAGGCCTGCCCGGCCGCAGTGCGCCAGGCTCCGAGCCTGGCAGCTCCGGCGCCGCGATCGGATCGGATCGGACCGCCCGGCGGCCCGGCGGGAGGCCCACCCAGGCCCGCCCGGCCGGCCCGGGGCCCACCCCAGGCACTGACCCGGCTGGGCCCACACCCTGCTCGCAGGCCGCGCCCCGGCAACAACCAAACAGTCGGTGGCAACGCCAGGTTAGCTTGTTGATTCAATAATGCAAGCTAGATTATGGCACTTCGTACTTGTGCTCGCCCCAAGCAAGGATCGCCTTGTCTAGCAGGAGCTTCGCCGCATGCAGATCCTTCAGCTCCACTCGTACCGTGTGAAGTCCCGGTGAGAGCCTCCCGACTGAGACCGACATACCGTGAGGGTCCTCAACCAGAGTACCGGGCAGTAAGAGGAAGAAGAAGCTCCCGTCCTCTTCAACTTCGCCCTCGCCAGCGTGCCTGTACGCCTGCACCGACAACTGGTATCCCGTCGCTCTGGAGAGCCCGAAGATGTCAAGGTGGACGAGATGCTCGCTGCCCACGAGCTCCAGCGTTGTGCTCTGGACAAGGTGGATGCGACTGATGTCGCACTTGTCGTCCCTAAACGCTCTGATGAGGCAGGAGCGGATCGGAACATGGGGCTGCACGTCCGTATAGTAGTCTGACAAGAGCCTCTGCAGCAGCTCCCGGCCGTGCGTGTCCGGGGGGCCCCAGCCAGTGTTAGCCCCCTGCTTGGGGGGCGCGACGATGGCGAGCCTGTCAAACACGAAGTGCTCGACGCTCTCGATCGCCGACGACCCATGCATGAGGAAGCTCTTGGGGAGAACCGTGAAGGTGTAGCCCAAGTTGCAAGCCTCCACCCCGAGGGAAACCTTGTCCCATCCCCAATGCACAAAGCGATCGTCGTACAGCCCGACGCCGTGGCTCCCCCGCCAGGCGCTCCGGTTGACCACCACGTAGGGCTCGTAGCCTAGGATGTACTTGACCTGGTACGTCTCCTCTGCCTCCATCCACCTGTCGTACTCAGTTCCCGCATGGAACACACCAGCTTCGTGCCATCTGCCAGTCGTTGACCACATGCCCATGTCAAGTCCGGGGATCCACACCTGACGCCCCTCGAAGTTTAGCCGCAAGGCCTCCATGGAGATCGAGGCGGGCTCGACGCGAATACGCTGCTCCTCAAGGGAGATGCCGGCTTCCCTGGGCCAGGAACCGGAGGTCTTGAAGGAGGGGATCACCAGCAGCTCCGTCGGCCCGACCTTCCCGTCCTGGTACGCCTGCCGTATGTTGGACGCCAGTCCATCCGACGCGAGCATGTCTACGTCCGCGTACAAGACCAAGTCCGTGCGAGCTATGGCGCATGAAATTTTTCTGAGCATGTTGATCGGAAACACCAGGAGACTACCAGGTTTGTCCTTGTCAGGGCAAGACGTCAGGAGGGTAGCTTCCAGCGTCTTGTTTCTCTCGATGAACCATGGCCCTAGTGTCTGCTGCACCAGCGTCTTGATCTGCTCTTGCTCTGACATGCTGCGGGCGTAGAAAGCGACCGCCACGTGCTCATTCCACTGCGCCGCAGCATTGATGAGCACGACAGCTCTGTCAAGGGTCGCGACGGTGGACAAGGTCAAGCCCAGCTCATCTTCTCGCAGCCTCCTGGTTGCTCTGACTGACATGGAGAAAGGAGATCGCTGGTACGGCATCTGACCCTGGAAGAGAGGGTTTCCGGAGGTCCAGAGGTATGAGACCATGCAGGGCTGCAGGGCTTGGACTTTGCGGGACAAGTACGCGAGCAAAGTATCGTCGCTCTCATGCTCTGCGAAGTAGTCGTACAAGACCGACACCATCACCACTTGCTCTGACCATGCGGACGGGACATCGAAGTGTACAACTCCTACAGAGCCCGTCGAGCCGTCGACAACCACGACACCCGCCTGATGAAAAAGGATGACTTGCTTCTCTTTGTGCCTAAAGGTCAAGTGGACCCTGTATCTGCAACCAGGCACCAGGCCTATTGCTTTGATAGAAGCCTTGAACGGAACTCCAGCCACGAGATGGTCAGTGCCGGGACTCATCACCAGGTTGCAAAGTACTTCCTCCGGATGTGGACGGTAGCGAAGCTTCACACTGTCGGAACGGACGAAGGAAGCTTCTTTTGCGCTCCTCCTTTCTGCTGGTAGTCGCTGAGAGCGCGAGAAATCGTCCTCAAGCACGCAGATCTCGTTGCACCTGGACACCTTGAGGAACTTGCGGACGGTGAGTTTGGCAGCGATAGAGCTGTTGGCTCGGTTCTCGAGCTCCGAGACAGTCGCTAATATCAGATACTCGCTTCCTCCCGGAGCAGAGACTCGCACGTCCTGCACATGCTCGGAGCTGTTCATATGCAGAACCAGCATCTCTCTGGACTGCTCCAACGAGTTCACCTCTGTGACAACGAGGACGAGCAGCAGGTTACCCCCAGTCATCCCCCGCAGGCGGATGGAAATCGACATCTCCCTCTCCTGCAAGGTCGCATGCTCCATGACCATTGCCGGCTCTGACGCGTTCACCACCCGCACACTGTGATCCCCGATGGCGACAACCTCCAGCTCGTCGCCCTCCATCCGGTGCAGGAGCGCCATGAATGCATACATACCAGGGCTCGCGTCCTCGTATACGAATGAAAGGCATCTCGAGCTGTTAGATAAGAAATGCTCATCCATCAGGTACTCCCTCACTGCGAGCACCTCCATCCCTTGACGCAACTGCACTTGCACCACCAACGGCGCCGGAGCAGGAAGAGATGAGAGGTCGATGTCTAAGGAGAGCTGCTGCACTGCTGGAGAGTTCACATCCATGACTTGCCAGCGCATAGACCAGCCTCCCTCGTCGGGCGCCAGGGCCACTGACAGCGATGCAGACTTGCTGCAGGGGCACAGAGTTCCAGGGATCGGCGAAGAGCGAAGGCGGGTTCCATCAAGGGCAGGGGAGACTTTGCACTGTGGAGAAGAGGGAGACTGCGAGGAGAAGTGCTCGGAATCGGGGAGAGAGGAGGAGGAGGAGGAGGAGGAGGAGAAGCCTGCCATGATAATCAGAATCCTCGCTGTCATCGCCATCCTCGCCATCTTGTTCCGCGTGGCCGAGTCAAGAGTCGATTGACTGACCGAGGACCCCCTTCAACCCCATTTCGAGGCCATCAGGAGGGGGGTGAGTGGGGGTGGCTCATTTACTCTGAAAAGAGATCTTTTCAACTTTTAATAATCCCAGCAGCCCCCCGCAGTTATACGGAGTGCCGTACTCGACCCGAGTACCCCTCTTTCTGACCAAAAAACCGTACTCGACCCAAGCTGACATGGGTCTACGAGTACATCCCTTCGGGAAGGTCCGTGCTTCTGAGAATGACCCTAGTAGAAGGCATGCCGGCCCGGGTAGGACTCTGTCCCCTACTAGCCTAGTAGACCGAAAGGCTACCGTGGGGGCTACCTTTACTCAAGGGCTGGGACTCAGTCGCACACTACGAAGTTCGGAAAAATCATGAACAAGAAGGAATTTTTCATTTTTCAGTACTGGATCTGAGTAAAGTTTAGTCACTGAACATGAGTACACCGCAACGGTCTATGATCCGCTGCCGCGGCACGGATCTTTTTTTGGCAGCCTTTCCTCGCGTGACTGCGTACTGATCGACTTTAACTTAACTTTGAGTAAAGAAGGGGCCCTAATACTTGACTCAGCCTAAAAAGCGCGGCGGAAACTTGCCAGCAACTCAGGCTGGCACCGTGCCGGGGCCCGCCCGGCCGCTGGTGAACTTCCACACCTCACCGAGCCTCGGAGGCTGTGCCCGGCACCGAGCCGGGCTGTGCCGACACCGTTTTGCCTGAGTGAGCAGTGTTACGCCCCGCCGGCCCGGGCCGGCGCCCCCGCCCCTCGGACTGTCCGGGGCCGTGACCGTACCGGACAACTGCCCGGGCTCTCTTCCAACTCAATTGGCAAGTTCACTCAGTACTGCCAGGGCCGTCCGATCACGGCGTACTGATTGAGCGCGCGGCAGTCACTCAGGCGGCCGGGCAGGCCCGCGGCGAGCCCGGCGGCCGCCGCGCGTCGGCGATCATCCCGGGCCGCAGATCATTCCCCCGGGCCGGGCCTGATCCGAGTCCGATCCGATGCCATGATCATCCCCGGGGCCATATGATCATCCTCCAGATCATCCTCATCCCCAGGCTCGCGATCATGTTGGTCATCGTGGGGATGGGGTCGAAGTTGAGGCGGCATCTCGATGAAGGGCAGAAATTCCTATTTGCTTTTCCGTGGGTGGGTGGATAAGGGGGTAGGGTGGTGTGTGGTGTTGGTAGGGTCATGTACCCTACTCGTGAAAATATTCACATTCTTAATGATGGTCTTGACTTGGGGGTGGGGTGATTTTCTCATGAGTACCCATAGTCTCAATATTGTTTTGGTACGCCTTAACCCTACCTACCCCTTCAACATTATGGAAATGCTCGTTCGTTTGTACCGGTACCTATCATGGAGACTACCCTACCCTCAGAAGAGTATACTTCTCAACCCCTACCCCTTATTCACTCCTACCCCACCCCGGACTTCCCTTTGGGTCACTAGGAACGGAGGAGCGTAACGGCCATGGCGGCGCCGCCGTGTCAGTAGCACACCAGCGTTCCCTCCGTCTTTCTGCCCCCTGCCCCCTGCCCTCATCCTCTCTGGACCCACCGCTCATCTGTGACCCTGAGCTCTGCGATCACTGGTTCTGTCCTCTCATTGCCTTCCCTTTTCAACCCTTTGATTGAGAAACTTCGTCTACCGCAATCCCTGCCGCTGACTCATCGATCCTGTACGTTGGTCGACAGGATCATACACCTGTGCATCCACAGCTTCGTCCCAGGAGGTCCATTTCCAGGAATCTTCCTTCATTCGCCCATAGTTCTTTGCGCAGTGAGGGCCTTTGCTGGCTTAGAGCTTTCTTCGGGCATAGCTGGCTAGTGGCGTGAGACTGGAAGTCGTGGGCGTCATTTAGTAGCACTGACATCCAGATAGCATCAACAGCCTAAGATATTATGATGAGGACGTCTCTCGAGAGGTTTGCACCCGCACGGGGCTTCTGATCATACTGTAAGGGGTCAAGAACGAGAGATTATGATGGTTTGGGTATCACGTGCAATCCCTGAAATGCTGATCACCAATTGGTCGGGTCACAGCTCAGACCAAGGAGACAGGCAGATGGATTATGACTGAAAGAAACCTTTCTTTCAATACTGCTTCATGGAGGACTTGTTCTGTCTTTCTTGATGGTCAGTTTCAGAAGAATTTGCGCATGGGAGCTCCTGGTGGTACTATTGACCACATCGTCTGTGTATGCGGGCATTGCAGTCACATCGCAGTGCTCTCTTCAACAATGCATGCCTCTGGTGGTGGATGTTCACGTGCGCGCCTTCTTTAGACTCAGGGGAGGGCAAGAACCTAGCACGGATCCTGGGAATGTCACCTTGCCAGCGGTAGAGGCTGTTGAGGATCCTTTGATTCATGCCTGGGGGGGAGAAGGACATGGCGCATTCGGCGGCAATCAGGACGACGATTTGAAATGGGAGGATGGCTTCAAGAGATTCTTGGAGTACAAGAAAGCGCTACCCAGCGGTCGGAGGAAGAGGCGGATGAGGCAGTTTCCTTCCAAGGGAACTCCTCTGAGGCAGTGGATTGATCAACAGAGGAGACTGTACAAGCATGGAGAGCTGGAGGAAAGTAGGCAGAGGTGAAGTTGATACCTTGTCTGCGGGAGGGAAGTGACTTAACCTGAACAACACTAGGCGACTAAATGATGCTGGGTTGGACTTAGCTTCAAAGGTTCCAGAATAGAATATTCTTTCTTTCTTTCTTTTTTTTTTTGACATGCCGCATAACAGGGGAAGCTTAGAGAAGTGGATTGGGAATCGATGTATCAGCGCCTTCGTGGCATGTATCTGCGACTAGGCCATTGTCGTTTGCCGAGAGATTCTCATGATTTGCTGTTAGCGCAATGGTCAGATTCACAGAGAACCAAGGTTGAAACAGCACACCTTATCTGGTCATTCGCACGCTCTCTGACTCAATCTCTTTAGTTCATCAAAGGCGTACTTTCAGCAGAAAAGCAACATCTTCTAGAGAACATAGGTTTTCCTTGGTACTCGGAGTGGTATGAGATGTTTAATCAGGTGGGCACTTGAAAGCACTTTATGCCACGTCCCTAACTTTTGCATGCAGGCGTGTTTCTTGTACCAGCACAAAGGGGTGATAGACTTATCCGAGCGGACTGTCAGGTTCATAATGCCATTCTGCATGTTTCGATTTTGCCAATCCTGAAAATCGTGCAGACCGGATGATAGCCGGGTGGCTTACTGGCTCCGCACACAAGGAAATCTGAAACTTGTGAGGATCCTACCAGCTGATGGCTGACATCTGACACCAAACAATCGTCAGGAGGGATTTCTAGGGGGCCAGAAAAAGAGGCTTTTCGATTCGTTGCATTTTCAAGATTTTGCTAGCACCGTTCTTGACAATGACATCACCCGTGATGACTCTGTGTTGATTTGGAATCCAAGGTGTGTTGTGAGTTGCAGCTGAATCGCAAAGTGGTGAACTCTTGCCAGGTTTGAACACCTTGTTCTATTCAAACAGATACACGGACATTGCAATGTCACTGGAGTGTTTGGGGAATATCCAGAAATGGAACTAAACACGAACTACACAGCCATGAACGCTTCTTCTTCTTCGTCGTCGTCTTCTTTTCCTCCTCCTTTTTCTACTTCTTCTCCTACTTCTTCTGCGTTCACGATGCGAGGCAAAGAGGCTCTAGTGCAGTGGTTTGTGCAGCAGGTGAAGGATAAAACTCTCTTGTGACGTGCACCGTAAGGAGTTAATGACGGTTCTCCAGATCGACAAGGCTCGTCGGAATAAAATCACCCCGCTGCGCAGAACGCGGTTGGAAGAACTTGGGGTCTATCTGGAGACCGACGTGTCTATCGCCAGCCATACGGAATGGACTCAGAGGATCGAAGAGCTGCGCAATTTCAGGAAACAACATGGTCATTGCAGGTGACTTGTGCCACGTGTCAAAACGGCGTGAGGAGTGAGCTTGTGTCTGTGCAGCGTTCCAGTCAACTACGATAGAAATCCGGCTCTAGCTCGGTCCTTCCTGTTGCCGCTCTTTCGCTTGTTTTTGTTGATGTTGAAGGGCAGGTGGGTACATACACAACGAATGCGAAGAAGGAAAGGCAAAATGAGCGCATCAAGGGCAAAGCAGGCGCGAGCAAAGGATTCGAATGAGGATTGAGTCCTGACTGAAAGTTTGTACAACAGCTGGAGAGAATGGGGTTTTCGTTCGAAGGACGTTCACAGTGGGAGAAGAGATATTTGGAGTTGATTGCCTTCAGAGACAGGTAACATGAAACTTGACATGGAGGCAATCGCGTTGATGGTTGGCTAAGATATGGTCACTGCTCTCCATCTCAACTGGGTCATTTTCGGAAGCTGGGAGTCTGGGTTGCTGTCCAGGTGAGGCTGCGTGTGTTGTGGATGCAAGTGGTGGAAGGGTGGGGGAGGAGGAGAGGTTGGCACAAGGGATGGGAGGCAGAGGAGTCCACATTGAAACTCGTCTCATGGTTTTGCAACTCAGAGGGTCAAGAGTCGCAAGGGGCAGCTGCGAGAGTCTCGGAAGCAGAAGCTGGATGCCATTGGTAGCCGCATGCCTCTCGATGACGAGGGTCCTGACGTTGCGCAAGGGTTTCGCTGGGAGCTCCACACAGACTGGGAGACGAGGGTCTTTCAGCTGAGGACCTTCCGGGAGAAACACGTGCTCCTCCTCCTCCTCCTCGCGTCTCGATACTGACGGAGCCGTCCAGGGCCACTGTAACGTCCCACAGCAGCTCCGTGACGATAACGATTGCGACATGTAGATCGTTAAGCCCTCACGTGCAGTCGATGTGCTTACTTTGTCTGGGCAGTGATCGCTCGTTGGGAACATGGGTCACGATGCAGCGCATGAAGCGGCGAGCTGGGAAACTCACGCAGGACCAGATCGACGAACTAGATGCTCTTGGCTTTAGGTCAGTCTCGTTGGCTCGCCCTAGCTGGCTCGCTGCTTCCCCCCCCCCCCCTTTCCCTCCCTGTCCTGGAAGCTGTGCTGGATGGTTGTTGGTGCTTGCGATGACTCTGCATCTGCTCAGATGGGGGATTCACACGGACTGGGAGCTCAGATTTCAGGTGACTTCTCCTCCTGCGGCTTATCTGTCTCTACCAGCATCCCTCCCTCCTTTCCTGTCTCCCTCCCTCCCTCCCTCCCTCCCTCCCCTCCCCTCCCCTCCCCTCCCTCCCTCCCCTTTGTCCCCGCGTCATGCTAGTCTCACAGTGTCTCCAGGAGCTTCTCAGCTTCCGCCATCAGCATGGTCACTGCAACGTCCCGCAGAAGTACAAGGACAACCCTTCGCTAGGGGCGTGGGTTGCCCAGCAGCGCCGGCGGTTCATTTTCTCACCTCGTGGCCTCGTGCTCTCTGACGACCGCTACAGGTTCAAGCACATGACGCTGACGTGGGACAAAGTCAAGAGGATGGAGAAGGCCGGGATAGAGTGGCAGCTGAGAAGAGGTGCGCGGCGCCGATCCCGGATAGTTCCTGCTGACTGAAGGAGCAGGGAGGCACGCCAATGGAGGGTGGATCGGAGAAGATTCGTCGACCCCGTCGAACCTGTCACCAGAGGAGATCGCGGAGAAGAAGCCCACGGAACTGAAGCCAGATGCTGAGCTCAACGTTGAAGAGCCAGCCCAGCACTCGTCTGCTGTGTGAAAAACATCTGTAATGTATTATTGTGATCAAGTGAAAAGTTCAATGTTAAGAGATTCATAAATTAAAGCTCGCTGCGGTGAAGTGGCCGGTCAGGAAATGGAGGGAGAGGCAATATATACCTCCATCCCATCCGTATGGATAGATTCTTGTCAGTTTACACTCCCATACGAGTCTCTTCAAGAGAGAAGGATTGAAGAAGGAAGTGTTCTCATCAGGAATGGAGGAGGGAGGCAGTAAGGCCAGACTCTGAGGAGAGCAGCCGAGGCACAAGATGCAGCTGACCAGAACGAGCAAGTGCCGGGGTCAGAGGAGAGCAGAGTTCCTCTCCTCTCTGTCTGCGTCACGGTAGCAGGGGAGGGAGAGGAAAGAGGTTCAGGAAGGGGGCGGTCAGGCTGATGAACCCCTACCCCTTCTCCCCCATGGTAAATAATTTTCGTACCCCACCCCTACTTTTTGAAAGTCCTTTATCACTACCCCTTATTTAACTGAGAAGTACCCCTATTTTAACACAGTGCTTCCTCTACACGATATCCAGAGGTCTTTTGAAGTACCCTACCCCCTGGGCCATACGGCCCTGCGCTAGTAGCTTTCGCGCCACCTTTTCGCCATGGCGGGGAGACTGGTGAAGGAGCGTCTCATAGGGAACGGATCCTTTGGCGTCGTCTTCCAGGTGGGCAGAGAGAGGGAGAGGAGGGAGGAAGAGGAAGAAGAGCGCGAAGTAGCGTCCTGCAACTTCAATGTTGAAAAAGTCTTGCGCTTGCTACAGTGCTTTGATTTCCGATTCATTCTCGAAATTCTAACGCGTGTGAACAAGTCGATTCGTCTGTCCCTCTCACTGTTGAAACACACAACTTCTTTTCTCATCGCAGAAAGCTCACCAAGAATTCCTTGTTAGGCCACCGACAAGGAGAGTGGGGACACGGTGGCTGTCAAGAAAGTCCTGCAGGACAGACGATTTAAGAACAGAGAGCTGGAGATCATGCGACTGCTGCGACATGTGAATGTGGTGGAGCTGAAAGATTGCTTCTACACCAACGGAGAGAGACCGGACGAGGTGATTCCTCTCTTTGCGAAAGTATCTGAGAGCTTCTGACAACGTGGCGTTGAAGATATATTTGAATCTCATGCTGGAATTCATCCCTGAAACCATCTATAAAGTCATACGACAGTACGGCGCGTCTGCGACCAAAGTCCCTCCTATCCTCGCCAAGTTGTACATGTATCAGGTAGCTTGCACTCTGTCACTGTTGGAGTTTGACCCTTTGATTCTTTCAGGTAGCGAGATCTCTGGCTTACATTCATTCCCTTGGCGTATGCCACAGAGACATCAAACCTCAAAACCTCCTCTTGGATCCAACCACACATGCAGTCAAACTCTGTGATTTTGGAAGCGCAAAGATTCTTGTTCAAGGTTGGGAATGTTTTCAAGAGTTGGTACCAACCCACTGCCGCAGGGGAGAATAACATTGCATACATTTGCTCACGGTACTATCGCGCGCCTGAGCTGATATTTGGTTGTTCCAACTACTCTACGGTGATAGATGTCTGGTACACGATGTTGTTTCCGAGGAGAATGCTGTTTGAGAGGTCGTGCAGGTCATACGGGTGTGTGTTTGCAGAGCTGTTCCTGGGGCAGCCTCTCTTTCCTGGAGAGAACAATATCGACCAGGTGGAGCAAAGCTCTAGCTGCTCCTGAAATCTGTCTTGATGTGTTTTCTTCTTTGTAGATGGTTGAGATCATTAAGATCTTGGGAACGCCGACAAGAGAAGAAATCTGTAACATGAATCGGAACCTTGGTAGGCCATCGTCGCTATTGGTGCGGGTTCGGTTACTGACGAGGAGAGCAGCGGAGTTCAAATTTCCTCTTGTCTTGCAGCATTCATGGGTCAAAGGTAAGATGTTGACACTTGTTCTTTTATCCGTTGAAACCATTCTCACTTTCTTTTTGCCGTCAGTGTTTCGTGACAAGGCACCTTCTGATTGCGTTGACCTCATGAGCAAACTCCTGCTGTATGACCCGAGGAAGCGTTACTCGCCCATGCAGGTCGTAGGAGCCTCTGCTCGCATGTTTCTGAGTTCCTCTCCTTGTCATGTTTCTGACTTCCTCTCCTTGTCAGGCATGCGCTCATGATTGTTTCGACGATCTTCGAGAAGGCTCGTCCCTGCTCCCCGACGGGCGTCCGATCCCTGCCAGGTGAGACCTCGCGGGCTGCTTGTGCTTCTCATGCTTGCTCGCAGAATTCTCTTCAACTTCACGCCCGAGGAGATTCGAATAGCAGGAGAGCTCTACCCCAAGCTCTGCCCGCGACAAGCTTCAGAGCAGGAGACAAGGGGGAGGGGCATCGGGCTTTAACTTGAAACTTTTACTGGACTCTTTCAATATGTACAACAGACACACCCAAGAGCCTCTGCAGTCAAAAACTTTCGTTAGCAGGGCTCCTGACTTACAAACTTGACTTCTCTTGGAATTCTCAAACGTTTAAATTGCATCTTCTGTCTTGCAACGTTCCTCTTCATACCCTTCATTTCTTCTTTGCACGCCCCTCCTTCAAGACAGGGTTGGCGTGTGTCTTGGTTGTGTTCAACACAGCGATGGAGGCATTGCGAGCCAGGGAGGAGGCTGTCTTCTCACGATGATGTTGCTCCTTGGAGCTCTTCAGCACCCGTTCCACTTCCTCCTCCGGCGTCAGCTTGCTGCGGGGCTTGCGAGCAGGATGGGAGTGCAACCACTTTTCGCTCACCTTGGAGGCTGCCAGAGCTGCCTTGTGGGCCTCCTCCTCCACCTTCGCCTTCCGGTCCTCCACCTTCTTGTCTAGCTCGATCTCCTCGGCGGTTTCTAGCGCAGCTTCTTTGAGGTACCTCAGCTCTCTCTCCATCTTCTCATGCAGCAGAGCCTTCAACTCCTTGTCGTAGCCAGGGTTCTTGTTCTTACCCAGCAGAGCAGAGGTTTTCTCCTCAGCCCCACTGTCCCGCAGGGCCAACAGCAGCACCGCTGAGACGAGCATCGCTCCCAACAACGTCACGGCGGCCAATCTCGCCATGTTCCATGGCCGCATTCCGTCGCACTTCTTCATGCCGGCAAGGTAAGCTTGATCCACCAGCGCGTTGTAAGCTGATCCGTCCTCCATCGCAGACTTGCTCATCTCGCGCAGCTCTCTGCCATTCAAGGAAGGAAACACCCGCGATACCTGAGCCCACAAACACGCCTGACATGGTTGAATGTCAGAAAGAGCATTAGAGCACATCGTTCCTTGTATGGATGGTCTTTCATATTCATGCAGCGGCTGGTGATTCATACTTCACCCTATGCTCGTCCTCCTGGCCTCACATAGACATTCATACGACAGGGGTCAAACTTTACATGGCGATGTCACACGGGAACGGAACAAAAGTTCTTCACAGTTCCATCTACAACGCAGGTGAAGCGCTCGCTATGATACAACACATCAGGACGAGGAGAACGATAAGTCCATCTGAAGCGTGTTGACAAGTAGGAGGAGGAGCCAGAAGGGCATGTAGTCAATGACAAGCTATACTCCATCCTCCGTCCTGATCCGTCATCCTCACTCGCACCAAATTCCTCTTATACCATCGGCTCCTTCCCTCTTCCTCTCTGCCTCATTTCCTCCTTCCTTCTTCTATCCCTTCCTTCCTCCCTGTCCTTCCCCCTCTCTCCCTCCTCCCCTCTGCCACTGCCTCTCCCTCCTTCGCCTTCGTTTGTCCTTCCATACCGGCTTCGTCACAACCACCCCCACCCTGTGCAAATTCTGCCCTCCACCTCTATCACCATGTCAACTTCCAAAGTACCCGTCCATACATCTATACACAAGAATTTTCTACGAATAATTTGTACCAGATTTTTATCACCTACCCCTATCTTACAGACATCTGCTGTGTATACCCCCTCCCAATATACCCCTACCCCCCTTCTTGGAGTGGATATCTATTTCCGATCCTCCATGGCAGCTGGTAAGTTGGGACTCGAAGTTCGTCCCTGCTGCTCCTCCCTCCTCCTCCTCATCCTCATCCTCCTCCCTCCCTCCTCCCTCCTCCCTCCTCCCTCCTCCCTCCTCCTCCTCCCCTCCTTCCTTCACACAACACTTTCTCTTCGTTGACATGCTTCTCGTTCGTTCTCCATGCTCTATATTGGCTCACGCCGCTTGTTGAAACCGCAACAATCTTTACAAAACTACCATGTCCTCCTGGTGCCTGTTGTTGCATGCGATCCCTCGGCCTCTCGACCCTTGTCACGCTTCATCTTCTCTGCTCTCATTCTCCACCCCAACATTTCGTCTTCACATCCTTGTCCCATGACACTGGGTTCCAGGATACGATTTTCTTCCTGCCGAAGAGGGGAGGATGGAGGAATCAGAGTCGCCCTCCGTGAGATCGTGGAGGAAGCAGGGAGTGCTAAGATCTCTCTCCTTGATTGTCTTCGGGTCACTGGGGCTGTTGGCGCTTGTCCTTGTCCTCGGCCAGGCGGACATGCGAAGTGACGGGGATGCGCTATCGAGGGGAAGCTTTCCAGAGGAGATGTTGCAGAAGGTCAAGGCAGCGATGCTGCAGGAGATGGACGACGATGGCCTGGAGAAGCAGAAGGACTTGATGGAGAGGCGCTTCCCAGCGGAGATTGTCTCGTGAGTTTTGAGGATGATGTTGATGAAGATGGTGGTCGTTGTTACGACGACCACGACCACGAAGACGACGACGATGATGATGATGATGATGATGATGATGATGATGATGATGATGATGATGATGATGATGATGATGATGATGATGATGATGATGATGATGATGATGATGATGATGATGATGATGATGATGATGATGATGATGGAGATGATGATGATGATGATGATGATGATGATGGAGATGATGATGATGATGATGATGATGGAGATGATGATGATGATGATGGAGATGATGATGATGGAGGTGATGATGATGATGATGATGATGATGATGATGATGGAGATGATGATGAGAGGAACGACGGAAGGATGTGAAGGATCACCTGACCTGTGGGCAGGTACATGAACTTCTCCAAGGAGCCGTGCGACAACTTCTACGAGTTTGTCTGTGGGCAGTGGGTGAAGAACACCGAGATTCCAGCAAGCTCGCCAGCCTTCACCAAGTAAGACTTGCTTGCTCGAGGTTATATCTCAAGTCTTGACCATGTGCTGGTGCAGATCTTGGGATGGAGCAGAGAAGAACGTGATGCAGGACATGATATCCATGTACACGGACAACTACACGGAGGACTCACAGTTCAGGTGACCACCTTTCCTCTCCGTCCTTCCTCTTCCTGCTGTTCTAGATGCATCGCCTCCTCCTCTTCCTGCTTCTGCTACGCTGCTTCTTCTTACTCACCGCCGGTTTCCTCGCAGGCGGCTGGCGGACTGGTACCATGCCTGCGTCGACGTCGACGAGATCAACAGGCTGGGATCGAAGCCGCTGAAACCGACGCTAGAGAAGATCGACACGATGGAGACGTTGGAGGACATGATCGAGCTGCTGTCCTACTTCATCATCTGGGACATGCCGCAGTTCTTCAGCATCGACGTCAGTGCTGGGGTTCGCAACTCCTCCACCCGGCTCCTCTTCGTCGAAGCCTCTGGTGATCTGCCACAGCCTCGCCTCCTCCTTCTCCCCCTCCTCATTCGCTCTGTGCTCATCTTCTATCCCCGTCCCACCACCTGCTGCTGCTCTCGCTCCTCTCCTTCTCGTGCTCCTGTTTGCTCTTCACCCCCAGGCTCCTCTTTCCCTTCGTCCCATCAGTCCCTCTCTCCTCCTCTCCCATCTCTGCCTGTAGCTTCCTGCAGTCGGGCTGACGGAGGAGGTCAGGACTGTCTCTCCCCGACGCCAGCTACTACCCTGTGGTGTACAACGGGTCGGCGATCGACGACGACAAGGCGGAAGACAGGGAGATGACGAGGCGCTACTTCAAGAAGCTCCACCTCCTAGCCGGATACTCCGATGAGGAAGCAGAGCTCGCCGCAAACGAGACCATCGTGGTGGAGACAGAGCTTGCGCAGTGGATGGTGCGATGTCCCTGCTAGTTTCCCTGTCCCCTGTCCCCTCATCCTCTTCTTCCTCCTTGTTCTCCTCTTTCTCTCGCCTCCTCTTCCTCTTCTCCTCCTCCTCATACGTTGGTTGTAGGTTGACGAGCCTTGGATCGACGACCCTCTGGGGCCGCTTCCTACCAACTTGACCAACCTGTCTGCCATCACTCCGACCTTCCCATGGTGATGCGATGGGTGGCGCGGGGTGTGCGTGACGGGGAGCCATGATCAGGAGGAGAGTGTTTGAGGAGATGAAGAAGGGATGCGAGGAGTACGGTTGGACGTGTAACGAGAAGCTTCTCAACGACGAGAACCTGATCATCATCACTGACCCGTGAGTATCGAGAACGAGTGCTGATGTTGTTGGATATTGCTCGTGTCACCTTCTACCCTCCCTACGGCATCATCCCCACTACCCACTCTCCTCCTCCTCCTCCTCCTCCTCCTCCTCCCCACCACCACCACCACCACCACCATTGCCCTTATCTCTCCATCTTTCCCAACCCTCGCATCCACCTCACTGACTTCTCCTGAGCTCAGATTGTGGATGACAAAACTTGACGAGGCTCTGCGTACTCGCCCGGTCTCCTACTGGAGGCGCTGGATGAGAACGTGAGATTGACGATAGTGACCTGCCGTGCTGACCTGCCGCAGGCACTACATCTACGACCTCGCGCCCTTGCTCAACGTCGAATTCCTGTGAGGCGACGAGCGGAGTTGTTGAGTTGCTGCTGATGTTTGCGATGCTGTCCTACTTGCTGGCATGCTCGAATGAGATGTAGCTGGGCTGATGTGTTGTGTTGTGAGATGTTTGTTGTGTGTGTTGTGGTGAACTGGTTGCAGTGAGGCGAACTTAGAGCTCGATGGCTACATGACCGGCATATCCGAGCTGCCGACTAGGTGGGCAAGTGAAGAAGAGGAGGAACAACAAGAGGATGCTGGAGCGTTGGCAGGCGGCTGGACAGGAAAGGACAGGAAAGGACAGGACAGGACAGGACAGGACAGGACAGGACAGGACAGGACAGGACAGGACAGGACAGGACAGGACGAGGACGAGGACGAGGACGAGGACGAGGACAGGACAGGAGAGGGGGTGGGACAGAGAAGAGAAGAGAGGAGAGGAGAGGAGAGGAGAGGAGAGCAACAGAGAAGAGGGGGTGGGACAGAGAAGAGAGGAGAGGAGAGGAAGGGAGAGGAGAGGGGAAGGGCTGATGAGGGTGCAGGGAGGAAAAGTGTGTGAGGGCGACTACCAACGGTCTCTCCGCTCTCTCCGACATTCTCTTTATTAAGGTCTGTTCAAATTCGCTCCCCTGTAGCGAGTTATAACCGCTTCCTCCTCTCCTCTCAGAAATATTTCCCGGACATCGCGAAGGAGGCAGGCTGGGCGATCTTGACAAGATTGAAGAGCAGCTTCATCAAGAACCTTGAAGATGTGACAAAGAGGAGGAGGAAGGAGGGAGGAGGGAAGAGGGAGGAGGGAGGAGGGAGGAGGGAGGAGGGGAGGAGGGAGGAGGGAGGTGGAGGAGGGGGAGAAAAGGGGTGGAGTCAGGGATGGGGGTGGGGTGGGGGTGGGTGAGAGCAGGAGAGAGAAAGAGGAGAGAATGATCTTGAGGTGTCAGGTTGATTGGATGGACAACGAGACCAAGACTCGCGCCATCACCAAGGCAGAGAGGATGGGGCTGAATCTAGGTGATGATGGAGATGGTGATGAAGATGATGATGGAGATGAAGATGATGATGGAGATGATGATGATGGAGATGATGATGGAGATGATGATGATGATGGACATGATGATGATGATGATGGAGATGATGATGGTGATGATGATGGTGATGATGATGATGAAGGAGATGATGATGACGGAGATGATGATGATGATGATTATGGAGATAATTGTGTTGCTGAAATCATGATGACGATGACAACGATGCTGTCGATGTCATTGTCGTCGTCGAGGTTGTCGTGTATCATATTTACATTATGTTTGTCCTGCCTGCTTCTTCCGCTCTTCTCATCCGTTGCTGCAGGTGGGCCCAAGACCTACAAGCAGTTTGTCTATCCTGTCGATAGGGGATCCTACTTCAACAACTCCG